TCTCTCTCTCTCTCTCTCTCTCTCTCTCTCTCTCTCTCTCTCTCTCTCTTTTTGCGTCAAATTAAAAAAAAAAAAATCGACGATCTCATTGCACGCTTTATTTATTATTCTAAAAGATCGCGTTTTATTATTCGGTTGCTGGTCGAGCGGAATGTCGATCCCGAGATTAAATCGATCGTGTACAATTAAACAGCCAACGACACGCAAATTTTTTCACGAAAAATTTAAAATTTGCACGCGATAGTAAAGTTATTATTTGTGTCTTTATTTAATGGAAAACTTTTTCTTTCGTAAGTAGCAATTATTTTTATCTCTTCGTAGATATTATTTCAACAAAGAAATTTCATGAAAGATCAATCTTGAACAATGAATCTACAAATAAATCTAGATATTAATAAATATTTAACTTTTAAAAATAAATTAATCATTATAAATATATTGATATAATTAATCATAAAGTTAGTAGCAAAGATTCGATTAATTTTCTTAACATCTGTTTATATTTTAAACTCGACATATATTAATCTAAAAACTAACTAAATTCATAGAGAAGAAATTAATAAAACAGTTAATTCACTTGCACAGAAGAAACATACTTAAATGGTAATAATTTCCATAAGTATTTATCGAATAAAAATATAAAAATAAATTTAAACGTATACATCTAACCATATATACATATATATAATCTTTTATCAACTAATGAACACATTTCAATTTGCATAAACGTTTCGCGAATTAACATCGACATAGATCAAAGAGAGCTAGTCGAATTAAATATAAAATGAAAAATTTCGAAATGACACGTAATAATAAATGAATAATTAATGATATTAATACGTTTTTTTTGCTCAAATTTTACTCATTTCGCTTACTAAAATTTCTCTTATTAATAATCACGATGTGTATTCATCACTATATTTATTAGAAATATTAATTAATCCATCAATATCTCAATAGATAATCAAGATCGGTTGGACGCTTATTGATGCAGATTATAGCGGATCTTACGCGAGAATATATTAAAACGCGTGGACTATTATGAAATTTCCTTGATGCACGCGTGGTAAACACGAATATCAATGATTGTTGTTTGAACTTCTGCCAGTTTTCAGCTCGTTCCCGTCACTCGCATTAGCAAATCGATTATACGCGCTTATATCCGCTTTTTACACCATCTTAGACATTCCGAGATCTTTGTTTTTGCTAATTTAGATTTTAGATCAGTTTTTATAGGTGTTTATCGTTGTACAGTCGCCTCTTTCTTTTTTTTTATTTTAAATTGCGTTGTAGATTAGAAAATGTAAATTAGAAAATATTCGTTGGCGCGATAGCATGACACGATAATCGACGTCTGGTTAATTTCTATAATTTTCCATATCTTTTGTTAAATTATAATATGCATACATCGTGTGATTTCTTTGATATAGATTTTCGAAATTTCAACATTCGATGTTGTTTCATTCCAATATTATCGGTGAATTTATGCGGTGTCGTGCGGTTATTAAAAAATCTATCAAAATATTGTATTACGTAATCTTTCATCAATCGTAACATCTTGCGTTAACATCTTCTGCAACACGGAAATCATAATCTCATTATTCGCGAGTTTATGTTAGTTAATGTTTCATAAATATTACCACATAACAACTAATTGTCATACTCCACAAAGATAAACACAATAAGGATTCTATGTTTGAAAAAAGCAGTATACAATCCGTATAAATAACGAGCAAAGTTTCCTCGTGGCGATAAGATGCAATTTGCTTATCGACGAACAAAACCAATAGAAAAACCGGAAATTGAACCTTCGCTAAAAATAACTAAAAGTGATATTTAAGCGTAAAATACATTTACAATCGTCAAGACTAGAAAATTCAATATCTCACACTTGAAAACTCGGTCTTCGTTTAATTTTATGTATCGAAGACAAATAAAAATGGAAGATTGTTTTGGCGACAAAGATTTCTTCGAAACCGAAGAAATGAAACACAAAAAAGAAATACAAACTTGTCAGACTTGCTACTTTATC